ACAGACTGGATTTTGTACACTCAGTGGAAATTTCTAGAGGCTCATGCTATAGTTTAGTTTTGCAGGCCTGGCTTTTTCAGGATTGCGTGGTTTGAATCTTCAAAGAAGTTCTTGAGAATAAAATGAGGGTAATTCACATTTTAAGTGCAGGCCACGGAGCACAATTTGGTGAGATAAATCTGTGAGAAATTTCCAAATATGAATCACACATGCAGGAAAGAACCTGGCCCACAGACTTCCTCTAATTAAATGCCTGTCTAATAAAATCTCGTCAATGGCATACAGATGACTGTTAAAGGAGCTGAAGTAATTCATTTCAAGTTCTGGAACTCATTAAATGCAGTTCTTCATGCTAAAAGAATTTCTTGCATCTTTATTTTGCCCTTAACAAGCAGCAGCAAAAGCCACCACAAAGGGGTCTACAATTTACATATTTTAAAATAATATCCAGCAAAAGATATTAATGCAAGGAGGCCCTGGAGTAGCTGAGAGTGGCTTTAAGATTTGAGTTTATGGGAGGCCGAGGCGGGTGGATTGCTCAAGGTCAGGAGTTTGAGATCAGCCTGAGCAAGAGCAAGACCCCGTCTCTACTAAAAAATAGAAAGAAATGATCTGGACAACTAAAAAAAAAAAAAAATACATATATATATATATATATAAAATTAGCTGGGCATGGTGGCGCATGCCTGTAGTCCCAGCTACTCGGGAGGCTGAGGCAGGAGGATCGCTTGAGCCCAGGAGTTTGAGGTTGCTGTGAGCTAGGCTGACGCCACGGCACTCACTCTAGCCAGGGCAACAGAGTGAAAGTCTGTCTCAAAAAAAAAAAAAGATCTGAGTTTACATAGGGTTTGTCCTGCAGCCATGGCCTTAGGATATCGGCTGGTATCTGAAAGCTGGAGGCCTGGCTTCCTTGCTGAGTGGAGAGACCACTAGCTAGTGTCTTAGAAACCCTTTGGGAATCTGAATGAATTCACAAGTCTCTAATCTCTGCTCCTTATTCTTCACACCCACCCCATCTGTGACCTTTGACTCTTAGTTCAACTTTATGCACATGTATGTTCCTCTTAAGCCACACAGTGAGACTGCGGGCCTGGAACGACTTGGGGACTGGAGTCTCCCAGAAGTTAGAGGGCAGGGAGGGCGAGATGGTAGAATTTGTTGTTTTTTCCTGAGCTCTGCACCGTTGACAGTGGGGAGACCACATTATCTCGGCAAACTTCCTCCACCAGGCTCCAATAATGCATAACTTTGCTTTTCCACCAATGTTATGGAATTTTTATTAGTGTAGGACAAGCTACCCTAGAGCCGAGTAGTGAATATTGGTGCAATATTCACATTCATCAGCACATGTGGCCTTTGAACAAACTATACTTTCTCTCTTTTAAGCACCAATAATCGCCCCAGGATCGTTGCTTTCATAAACATTGGCCAAGAAGCAGAGCTGGTACAGAACCAATGAGAGAAAAACTCTACAAGCAACTCTTAAAAGTGGAAAATCTTGTCAATACAGAACTGAGTATACCACCATTGATCAACCACTCTTAAAATACTTTAGGTAAAATCACTTCTGTAGGAAAAAGCTAAACAAAATAACTACTGGAGCATGATTTCCTTTGGAGGTTTATATTTGATGACTCGTATTACATGCTGGGTAAGTTAATATCTATTGCTCATTCATATGTCATTACCAGACTGCTATATAATTAGAGGTAAAAAGAAAATTCATTTGAACAAACCACCTTCACAAATAAAGCACAGGATTCCAAACTTGACTCTGCTTAACTCACATTTGACTAAACTTTCATATAGCAAATTGACACCATTTTCTACGTCCAAACAGAATATGTGAAAATGTGTTATAACTGCAGAACCCCACAATATAAAAAGTAGTGGTTCTTCCCACCAATTATGGCCTGTAATTGTTTAGGTAAGGTCTATACAATCTTTAATTGCCACATCTGATTTTAATTATTAATCTATACAAGACTCTCCAAAATTAAAATATTGAATCAAAAAGGTCCTATTGCACGAAGATATCACATAGACTAAAAAGGTAGAGTCCAGCGATCAAGGATATAACTTCAGCTTTGTCATGCAGTATCTGTATTACCATGAAAAGTCACTTAACTTCATCAGAACAAGTTTTCTCATCCATAAGATGAAGGTCTCCCTGGATAATCTCTAAGGTCCCTTCCAGTTTTAAAATTCTGTGATTCTGTTAAATATATAAATCTAAATCAAGATGTAAACAGATTACTTCAATGAACAACTTTCAAACTGTCCAATATTCAGTTTGATTTAATCATGCACTGAATCAAATGATTAGGAAAATAAAACAAGTTTGTATAAAACAGATTAAGTGTTCAGAATCTTTAAAACCAACTTCTTAACATTTATGTGGACAGATAATCATTTGTGAATCACAAGGTGAGTCAATACTTCTGTATTTTATTTACTGGTGCCAAATTCTACTCAGTGTCCTAAACTGAGTTTAGTTGCTCCCTTGTGAAAAGTCACATGATGAGTGCAGTTAAGGCCACTGGCATGGTGGCATGTCAGGGGTGTGTCATCATTACAACTCTTTTCAATAACTTTATAGTTACTTAAGATCTAAAAATTTTATTCTATAATTTATCTTAAGAAAAAAAGGTACCTAAAGCCATAAAGTACAAACAACAGGCTTTAAGAAAAAGCATTTCATTTGTGATGCTTCTCTCACTCTGCAAGCAAGCCAAAAATTCAGCTAACATTTTCACCACATTCCACTAGATTCTAGAAGGCAGTGAGGTCTGGTTGGAAAGTGACTCTGGGTTGCCCAGTAAAGCCATCTGGGGAGCTCAGCTGACACTCATGACCAATTAGATCAAAATCCCTAAGGTCAGGGCCCAGGCAGCACTATTTTTTAAAATGTCTCTAGTAATTCCAAAGTGCAGCTAAGGCAGAGAAACAATGAAAGTTAAAACCAGGCTCTTTGATCTAAAATGCAGGAATGCTGAGTGAAAGGCACTGACTTCAGTGGGTGAGATTTAAAAAGAAGTGAAATCTCTCACTACTTACAAGTTTGTTTTTTCTCCTCAGAGAAACGTCCAAGTGTCACTGTTCCCAAGAGTGTGGACGATAAGAATGTACACGTAAACCAACCAAGAGCAATGACACTGGAGAACGGTCCTTCCTTACTGTGCGAGATTCAAAAGCAGACATTTACTTTGCTGATCGACCGGTGACACCAGTGCCTATTGTGAGCTGTCACTTTTCCCTGCATCCCCACTCAGTAGCGTTTCTGTATTTCACCAGGAGATTCTGAGAGGCAGAACTATGACTTCTTAATAGCAATGTGATCCACCAATGCAAACCCAAACTAAACCAGCAATCCCAAGGAAATTACAATTCATTTGACAACCTTTCTAACATTTCATAAAAAGTCTGGAAAGTAGCAATAACCCCAAATTCTTCCCATTAAAATATTCATTATTCTTGACTAAGATTTCACCAACACAATCTCAACTAGGCATCAACTTACATCTGGCCTTGAATTTTGTCAATTTCTCTTTATGAGGCACAGAGAAGCAGCCCTCCTTTTAAAGAAGGGGGAAAGTAAAATCACCCCCTTTCCTGTGATCTCAACGATACTTCAGTTCAAACACTCAACCAATAGGAGGGTGATCTGCATGTGTAATTGAACATACACAGAAAATTGCTACGTACATATAACACACTATACACATTATCAGATTCATAATAAAGTCTTTCTTCCTAGTCTTCAACCAATCAAATTAACAAGCTCCTGGCAATTTGTCATTAGGACTTGCTGTTTATGATGTCCACCTTTTCTGGAAAGCCAGCCACTGGTGGCAAGTTTTGTTTTTCTTCAAGATACTACAAGTCAGGCATACCCTATCCAAACAGGTGCCTGTCCGAAACTTCCTCTTATAACTGTTGACTGACAATGAATGAATCACTAGAAGAGATCATCTCTATCGAAACCCTGGACTTGTGACCCCAGGCTGCTCACAGCTGAAGACTGGCCTCCTGGCCTCCTCACTCATCCTCCTCCTGCCCCTCACTCAAATGCAGGCCACGCAAGGACACCTGACTTCTTGGCAGCGAAGGGGAGCTCAGCGCGACGGGGTTTCCAAACACGAGGGGCTGGTGCCCGGGGCTCACCATGTCAGAGTCTGAGTCACTGGACTCAGTCCCACTGCTGGTGGAGCCCTCGGTCATCTGTAGGGGAGCCAGCTGGTCTGCCATCCTACTGGCATACGCGCACTGCACGGCGGGGACCTTTGAGAGGGGGCCCGTGAGAGGGGCGCCATTGGCTAGCATTCTACCTTCGGAAGCAGCCACTCCCTTTCCGTGGCCATCAAGCCTATCCATGGCCTCTGGAGTTGACGCCACCTGGCTAAGGATGAGCGGATCTGTCTCGGACTTGTTATACCTGCTGGGAAGATGCCGTAAGTATGGCCTTTGCAAGACCGGGGAACAGCTTTCGTAAGGAAGACCCTGGCTTGGGAGAGTGTCTTCCCCTACACTCCCCTCTCTAGGGTCATGTCCGTTTTCGGAAACATAGCCCTGAGACCCAGTCCTGTCCCAACTCATATTTGGACTTGAACTTCTGCTGCTGGGAGACAGCGGGGTGGCCGGGGGGCTGTGGCCAGATGAGCCCCTGAACATCTCATCTATCAGAGAGCTATGTCGTGGGAGTCTAGGGCTCCCGCTCATATCAAAGGTTATGTCTGCTGAATCATCATCAAGGAATTCTCTGGAAGGAGGCCGGGAGGACTTTGCAGAGTGAGGGGAAGCCCTACGCCTAGCCTCTATTTGCCTCTCATCCCGGGATAGCAGATAAACACCACTGGTCAAATCACCCTCATAATTGTCATTTGTTTGGCACCGAGACTGGGACGCTTGTTCTCTGAGGAGGTCGTACTCGCTATCTACGTCACTGCAGTCAATGAAAGGAATGGAAGTGCTGCTGCCCCTGGCAGCCCGCGATGCTGGACCTGTGCTTGGCTGCCGGGGCTGCGCTTTGCTCTGCTGCGTCCTGTCTGTGGCGACCTCCTCCTCTTCCTCCGCCGCTGGCCCCTTGGCGGCCCCGTCTGCCTGTGTGTTCCCCGCAGGGGGGCTCTTCTTCGGAGCAGGGCTGTGGTGTGGCCCCGGCTCGGAAACATTCAGTTCCTTTTCTTGGGGGCCGCTCTGGCCACCTGGGGATTCGGCACCTTCTCCAAACGTAAGGCTGGCGCTCTGCTGAGACTGGGTGGGGTGGGCGAGAGATGACGGGAATGGAAGAGAAAAGGGGAGACTGTTACGTCAGAGCCAAAGTCAGAGTCGAATTTAACAGCATCTCCTTAAGCTTCAAGCGGCTGAAAGGACTGACTGCCGTATGTAGGCTGCCCTGCCCTTCTCGCCCCAGCATCAGAACAGAGCACAGAGCACTGTGACACTAGTCGGCACTCCAAGCAGCATATTTGGTCGTGACCCAGAAGGTCCTTCCAGGGTGTGGACACCAATGACGCTGATCCCCGGCAGCACGAGTCAGGCTCTGTCTCTGCTTTCTAGGACACACAGTCTCATATTGGGTTTCCAAAGTTTCTATGGAACCAAACAGCCCTTCCAGCCCACAAGGGGCGTCCCAGGGGAGGGCGGGTGCAGAAGGAAAACACCTCGGGACCTGAGAAGGCAAGTTGACACAGCCTCCGGAGAAACGACAAGAAAGGCTTAGTGCAGCCTGGGCGGGGGAAGCCTAGAACTCTCTTTGAGTTCACACCACGCAACCTCCTTCGTGTTCTTCCCCAACAAGGTTCTTATTCTCTTTTAGAGAAAACCCTGAAAACTGACCCAGAGGCCAACTCCAGAGAAAACGAGCTCTCACCACCCTCAGAGCAGGAGTGATAATAAGGCCTCCTGTTGCCAGCTGTGGTCAGTGCCCTGTAACACAAGCCCTGGGAACTTGCTGCCCTGTCTGTGCCAGCGAAGGCTTCTGACCCTGGCACCAAGCAGGAGCCACGCCCATAGTTGAAAGCAGGTCCCCCTCTCTCCACACAAGGGGACCCATTGAGCTGGAGGGCTGGGCGCGCTCTATTGGCTCACACAGACGGATCCACCCCAGGCTGGGTTCTCTGTGGCACAGAGCGCAGCGTGGAAGGTCCGACGTCAGCTGGAGACAGGACACACGCCAGGGCCTCTGAGCCCAGGCTGGGTGCACGAGCCCAAAGCTCTGTTTTGTCAAGGCCAAGGCCTGCAACCAGCCTCTCACCTGTGAAAATCCCCAAAGGCGAAGCAGGAGGAACCGCAAGATGCGCTACAAAGCCCAGCACTCGGCAGGGAAAGTCTGGGGAAAAACAGTTATCACAGTAATCACCAGTACCGACCTGTTTTGGCACTTCTGAATTCAGTTCTGTAGGCTGCGTCGCAAGGCTCCTGATAGAATGAATCTTGCTGTGTTTTCTGGGAGAAATTACACAAAATAGCTAAAGTTAGGGGAGGTATTTTTTTTTATTTTTCTTTGAAATGAAACAAAGGTCCTTTTGTTTGAAGCATTAGGTCCTTCCTCAATAATGGTTTTATAAATGCTCCTTGGGGCTGGGCGCGGTGGCTCATGCCTGTAATCCCAGCACTTTGGGAGGCTGAGGTGGGAGGATCACTTGAGTCCTGGAGTTCGAGGCTGCAGTGAGCTATGATCAGTCTACTGTACTCCAGCCTGGGCTACAGAGCAAGACCCTGTCTCTAAAAACAAATACATACATAAATGCTATTTGGAAACAGACACATAGTCATCCTTTTATACACCTGCATGGTTCAGGTGTTATTTATTTATATCTTGAAGTTCTCAGAAGTCCCCTGTTCCAACTGTCCCAGTACAGCTGGCAAAGGATCGCTGACAATTGAGTGGTGCCTTCTGGTTACAGGGAGAGTCATGGGGGAGGGAGAAGCTGGCTGGGCCCTGACACCCTCTGAATTGCAAGCTACGATCTAACAGTATGGAATTAATTCATGTACTCTGGGTAATTATTTGTTAGATCAGTTCTATAACAGAGGGGATTACCATTGATCGGCTAACGCTATCAGAGTGTTAAGTTCAGAGGAAAAGGCCTGCCCTGAGAGTGATGTGTAGGCTCAGTGTGGAAGGGACTGACTTTAATACCACCACACATCTTCGTCCCTTCCCTTCCCCTGTCTGCCTGTCTCCCCTTGGCCCACTGAACAGGCATCAGAAACTTTTCAGGTCCTGAAACTCGTGAAACTGTCTAAGCATACAGAGATTACACTCCAAGTTACAACAAGCCTTTCTTCAAAATGCCCCAGATTAACACAGAAAAGTTCTGGAGCATTCGCATTCTGAATGGTAAAGAGAACTGGGCCACTTCTTAGATGGTCCTCAAGATACTAACTGTTAAGTGCCCAAGAAAATTATGCGGTTTATCTCCAGAAATGCATGCAAAAAACCTTCTGAATGTTACATTTTTGGAGACAGGGCAGGGGTGAGGGGGAATAATGAGGGCGACTGGTTCAAGGTGAGTTTAGCCGTATCTGTAACAATAGCTGCAAACAGAAGAAGAAAAAAAAAACCCAGAAACAAATATGTCAAAACGTTAATAGTTGTTAATTCTAAGTAGGAGGGATATGGGTAACTGCTGTCTTCTCTATACTTTATTGTAATTTTTAAATGCATGAAAATGAAAAAAGAAAAAGTTTTGTAAAAGCCCACATGTACTAACTAGTGCTTGGGGCCCCTCACTTTGCTCCTGTACGCCTCCGCTGCAACCCCCAGAGCTATGCTGCTCTGCTCTGGGAGGCACAGTGGTGCCGTGGGTGCCGGGCTCTGGAGCCGGCTGGCCCTGAGACCCAGGCTGCTCCTTTAATCTACCAGGGCTTTGGTGTCTCCCTCTTTACAAAGAGAATAAAAAGAACATCGGCCTCATAGAGCTGCTGTGCTGCTATCAAGGAGTTGCTATAGGCCCAGCGCTTGGAACACTGCCTGACACACACGAAGAGCTATTATATAAGACTTTGCTAACAACAATCCTAACAGTAATACATCCTGTTTCTGTTCACCCAAACTTTAATTAATTACAAAGTTCATAGAAATACTTTCAGTACAAATCTCAAAATACTAAGGGACTCACCCATGAGCCCATTTTTACGGTGCCTTCTCCCTGTTGTAGTCTCCCACGCCCTCCCGCTCCTTGCCCCTGACGGCCTCCTCATCTTCCTCCCCTGGTCCTCTCAGTCTGTCCTCATCTCATCTTATGCTTGGGGGCATGCCCTAAAATGATCTAAAACGTTCCTGTCTAACACTGAACTTGCTGAGGTTGACCGTGAAGCCGTAATTTACAACTCACTGGACACCAAGCCTGGGTGAAGGAATATTTAGCAGCAATAAACGGTTACCTGGAGATTATGGGTCTTCTCAAGTTGGAAACAGCATCGAAGCTTCTCTTACCTTTCAAACTGTACTTTCTTATGTCCTCCTTCCTTAACATAGTCGAGAACCTGCTTCTGAGTCCGACCACTGAAACGAAGACCACGAAAGCAAAGGGGAAAAGACACCGAGGTGTTCTCAATGCAAACACACAGACAACACTTCCCCATCTCCACTTCCCAGCTTCCTTAACTGGCAGGTAGGCAGGTTTTCTCAGCTAGCCGGGACTAAAGGCAATCCTTTGAGAGCCTGTTTTTGTGTCCATTCAGTTTTTTGATATTTTCCTTAAATACACAGAAAAAATGTTTGATTAACCAAACCCACTTAACAATTGTGTGTTTGGTTATAAAGCAACCATCCTAAGAGTCTCCACCTCTCACAAAGGCAGGGACAATAAGCTGGTCAATGCCTGTAGCAATATTTGACACAGGAGAGACACTCAAGTATTTGTTGAAGAATGAATGGAAACATGAACCAACGATGTGCAAGTCCGTGTATTTTTCTATGAAGTGACACCAAATGCTAACAAGACACTTTTACTGCAACAGAGAAAGGAAATCCTTTCTGCGTGAGAGCATCCTGTGAGGAGTGCACCGTGACTGGGGACCTTGCCGAGTGCCTCGCTACCGCTCAGATAGCCCAGCAAGGACAACCCAGGAGCCTGCTGGGATGAAGCAGCAAGTGCCTCTGTCGGCCAGAGCTCCTGGAGGCCCGCACGGGCTTGCCTTATCTACCTGCTGTGTTATCACTGTGTAACACAGAGGAGTGAGAAGAGTCTCAGGAGAAACGTCCACAGGGAAGGCAAGGCAAACAGGTGTGAAGAGGCAACCTTACCTGAACCGAAATGATGACCCTCGACTAAAGAGAACAGGCTTTGGCTTTGGTTTGGGCTCTTCGAAAAGTCTAAAAAAGGCATGATGTTCAACGCAGATTTTCCAGAAGGACTTGCAAAAATCCCGACTGGCCATTAGGAATTCCAAGGTATCCTGGTAAGAGCTCTAAAAAGGGAAGATACAACTTTGGTTTTTTTTGCCATCACCCACAGATATGCTGCTGAAATATGAGAAAGGGGGTAGAAAACAAATCTGTCCAGTAAAATTTCAATTGTGTATTTTATTATATTAATGATATTAATAATAGAAATAAAGAGCACAATAAATGTAATGCACTTGAATCATCCCAAAATCATCCCTCTGTGGAAAAATTGTCCTCCATGAAAACGGTCCCTGATGCAAAAAGGTTGGGGACCACTGCTTTAGAGGAATAGAAAACAGTGGTATAGATTCAGCGGAAGTGGTATCCTTTTTTGACAGAATTCATAAATTATGCTTATTTGGGTTACATTTCCTTCTAAAAAAAAAAAAATCCAAATACTGACATTCTTTTTTTGCCTCCTTAAAATAACTGAAGCACAATTTTTCTTTGTTTTCTTCCTCACATTTCCCATCAAGTTTGACTTTTGTCTTAAGTCATTTCTCTATAAAATAGCACATGGCTCAAGCCTCCAGGTAGCCCCAGCAACTATACAGGAAATGAATTTTCTTTTCCTGGAGCACAAAAGTATCTCTCAGTTGCAAAAATTCATGTCCTTTGATTCTGGAAAGGGGATATGGTAATTTTCTACTCCCACACCGAACACTCCCAATGTAAGTGGCCATATTATAAAAACAAAAGTTACCACAGTCCTTAACATTCCCAGCAGCTCCAACTATTTGGGGGATCTCACAGTTTTAGGCCAACCCAACTTACGAACAAGTTGTGCTGCAATTCTTCATTTGGATGGCAGCTTTTTGAAACTCAAATGCATTTTCCCATAAAAACCATTAGTAATGGGTATATGCATCCCAGGTCAGGCTGTGAAAGCCTATTTAATCCATATTGTAGCTAAACTGTAAGCCTATAGATTAGCATTTATCATCTTTTTTCCCATGGGGAAAAGGACTCTATGTCCTGGTTGGGGACAGATACCTGGGATACATTGCCCATCTCCTCCATCGCCATTTCTGGTCAACGAAGATGATATTGTTGTTCCCTTCCCCGACCCAGTCCCAGCATGAGCCGTGTCTTTAGGGGTTTTGTGGGAAATAAGTGGGAGGGAGCCGGTTAGCCCGTGAGAATGTGCTCCGTTGGAGGCTTGGGGGCCCTGTCTCGGCGATGGCCGGGTGCTGCATGGGGTCTCCGGGTGGGGCCGGAGGCTGTGCGCTCAGCAACAGCACAGCACAGCTTGTCTGTCGGGAGGGGGCTACCTGGCTCTGTGCAGGTAAATAACCCTCTCCCCAGGTACACAATGTGCATCTTCTTCATGCTCTGTGGACTGTGCATCTGGATACAGCCGTCCACGCAGACGCTCAGAGTTCGTTTTCATGAAAGCACCCAGGTAGCACTGGCCACAGTCTCAGCGTAAGCCCTGCCGAGCGCAGCCCTGCACCCCTCGCAGTGCGTACTCCACCCCACGGCTCAGTCCGTCCCGTCCCGCTCGAACCACTTACATTGGCATCAGGCCGCAGCTTGATGAGAAAGCGCTTCCTCTTGAAGCTCAGCTTCCGCACCTTAGCCCAGTTGAAAGCATTGATCCTAGTGAAACCCTGAGAAGACAGACAGCAGCCGGTGAGACAGGAAATGCATAACAAGCAACCTGGCTGCTCCGCTGCGCCTGTGGCAATGGGAGGCAGAGGGCCGTGGTCACGCGCTTAGTAAAGATGCCTTCTGCCGAGAATTCGCAGGATCCGTGGCTATCGGATGATGCCCATTGTTCCTGGATCCTTATTCCCCACTAATCATATGATCTGGCATTCAAACCAAGTCTGTCTCAAGGGAGGGAAGAGGCTGGTCAAGGTAATGGTGAAAAGAAAGAGAAACAGAAATAAAAACCATGGCAACCACCACAATAATTAGCAGCCATCACTTAGGGAGTGCCAGGTACTGTCCTAAGGGCTCTATAGACATTAGCTGATCAAAGCTTATACTATAAACCCAGCAAGACAGATTTATTATTTTCGCTGGAAACTGCAACATGGATATATTTTAATTTGTCCAAAATCACACAGCTAATGTGGCAGAAGGAGATTCCCGAGCACATGCCTTAACCAGCAGCTACTGTTAATAGCCAGCAGGTTGGCAATTCTCCCTTCTCGTCCCCACTGGCTTGGCCTCTGTGCCCACGGAGCTTCCAGTAGCACCAGCAAGACGGAGGCCGCGAGGCCAGATCTGCCGCGTGTCTTGAAGGCCAGCGCACAGTCTCTGGCCGGGACTCATTCGTCCTCATTGTCTTTGGTAGCCCAGCAAGGCGTGATGGAGCCACCAGATCCCAACTCCCATCTGTCCTGTCTCAACAGAAATTAGAAATCCTCTTGAGCCCACTTGAACCAGGCCCATTTATTTAACGTGGTGAGAATAAAGCAATCAGGCTCTGGCAAGAAGATTAATGCCAAGATACAGCTTTTGTACATGATTAAATGGCCTAGCAATTCTCAATATTTAGACTGTATCAAACACAATCACAGCCAATTAATTAGTGGTCAGGCCAGTTTTTTGGAATCTCAAAGAGTTTCTCTCCCCCTCCCCTTTTATGATTTTTAGAAACATCTAAGGGTTGTGATTTTGAAACTTAACAGTAGTCCTGAAAACTCCATTGGGTTTTATTGTTTTTCTTACTGGGCACTCATAGATATGCACTCGGGTCAAAAACTCTTAGGAGCAGTTACCACCTCAAAGACTGCGCTGCTCTCAAAACGTCTGTCCCTACTCCCTGATAGGACAGCAACTTTCAATGTGATTCTATGATAATTAGCGTCTGTCAGAAACTTGTGACGCATGAGTGGAGAATCGCTGAGCTCTTTTGAACAAGTATGCAAAGGAACATAAGCGTACCTGGAAGAGCTCAAAAAGATTTTAGATCACGTACATATCTACAACTTCAAAACTGGGTGAAATCTGATCCTATTTCATGAGAAAGGCACATGCTTTCTCCATATCCATTTGAAACTGAAGCACAGCCTACCACTCATGTTTAAAAGGAATGTATTCAGCAAACTTTTGGGGATGGTGGATATGTTCATTATCTCGATTTTGTTGATGGTTTCACAGCACATACATGCATAAGAACCTATCAAATTGCAACACTTTAAATATGTGCACTTTACTGTATGTCAGTAATACTTCAATGAAGCTACTAAGAGACATTGATCAATAAAACCATCCAATAGCAGAGTCATCAACAGAGCACACATTTTAGAGTGCAGAGAATCGAAATGTCCTTAAGTAGAACACAGGTAAAAATTCAAGTGCAGTGTGTCTTTTGCTACAAAATCACTATAGTGCAAGAATGTGGATTTTAGGGATTTGTAAAACTGCTATATCTTAAAAGTGTACATACACTTTTAAGTTAGCTGGATAGCCCAAATCAGGTTTAATAAAAAAGGGATCACATTACAACAAAATATGCAAGTATGAAAAGGATGTTTATTTGGGGGTCTGAAATCTTGATTCCATAGATCCACTGAGAGATGCAGGTTTCTGTGATCCCACAAAGTCAACAAACCCAAACAAATCTGTGATATGGATTCTTCAACCAGGGCAAGAGTGAATGAAACAGAATCTGGAAGTTGAGGGCCTGGGAAACAGAAAGCCTAAGATGGAGGTTAGTTTTTCCTTGTTCAACTATCAGAGGTCTTAACTCGGCCCACCCGACGTGCATCAGAGTTCAAGGGCCACCTCTTCTCTCTCCACCACCAAGGGGACTGAGCCGTGTTCTAAATGCTCTCACCTGAAACACTAGAATTCCTGTGTTGGCAACGGCCAGATTGATCTTAGTGCCTTCCCTGTCCTTGGCCGGGTGCAACCGGATTCCATACATCTCCAGCCGACGTGCAATCTCCAGAAGTTGGAAATCTGATTCTGCTGGTGTTTGTCCACTGACAAAACAAAATTAAAGAGAAAGGCCAGGAGATTTGAATTCCCTGTGTCTATTAATTTGAGATTAAGAAGCTTCTCTTGGGAAATAAGAAGGCATTTTATCACAAACAGTGGGGCTACCCGATCAGATGACATCTAACCTCCCATTCATTATAACCCAAAGTCTAGCAGCTAGGACAAAAGTGCCATTGCTCGTGTAACACAAAACCCCAAAAGTCTATCTCAGACTCAGCCAGTTTTTTGGAGTCTCAAAGAGTTGCTATTAAGGTCATATAAAAAGCAAAACACCACTGTGTTAAAACAAGTTTTTAGCCACTTACAATAACCTAAATTTGCAAGCAAAGTTCAAGGCAACACTCTTTTATACTGCCATCGGGCTCAAATGCCTTCTTTAAAACAACACCAAAAAAAACCACTGGGAATTCTTTGAAAACATTTTACTAATCCAAACAAAAAACAAAAATGGAGATGTTACAAAGGTTCTAGATTTTCACAATATTCCTACTTTGCCCCTAGTTGACCCTGTCCCTTTCCCAGTTTCCTGTTAAGATGGTCCTTTGGTCTTACACTCTCCCTTTTGTTCCAAAGCCTTGAGTGCCCTAAAATTCCAGGCCTCATCTGGTCTCTCAGGGAGGCAAGTCAGGGACAGGTCCTCAGTGGGTGGCCTGCACTTCTGCAAGCCCAGGGATAAGCTGCAACATCCCAAGGAGCCTTCGTGCTCTTCTCCCCTCCCCCTTTGTTTATTTCTTCACAACAGTTTGTGTGTGCGTGTGTGTACACCCACTTATGTGGGGAGGCAGAGAGAAGCCACTCAAAGGGAAGATAAATCTGCGAATGAGACTTACATGTGGTTATGATGAAATTCCACGATTTTGTCTTCTAGTGCATCTTGCTGAGGTATGTACTTATTTTTTGCTAAGTGCTCTCTGTCCGATGCTTCATCAAAATCTCCAATCTCCGCTAAAAAGAAACAGAGAACGAAAAGTAGGCCACCTAAGATTAACACTTCACAATCTGTTATATTCCCCAGCTGGTGGACGCCATAAAGTGAGCCAGCTGGCGGGGAATATTCCAAGGGCTGGACTTCAGAGGTGGGGGTGTGAAGACGTATTCAACAATCACGGCGACGTGAGATGATGGTGTGCACTCCTTCTCATCTCCACCAGTTGGAAAGAAGCTCCAGAATCATGCATTTTTCGCCATACATGTTCCTGTTTTTCTTCTTTCCTCCCCATCCTTCTGGGGGAGCTCACTCCTGTTCTCAGCAGTAAATTCCATCCATGTAGATGACAACCACATGACCTCTAAATAGGCCCTGGAATGTCAGGACTTTACAAACTCGAATTTTGAAACTCTCTCTATATAACAATGATTAGTGCAAATGCTTTATCATGTAGAGAAAAGAGAATTGTTAAGTGGGTGTAAAGGCAGATAATGTAATTAAAAAAATAATTCAAGAGTTTATTAAATTTCTTGTAGTCCTGTTGCCAGAAATAATGGGTCAGACTGCAAAGTCCAAGAAATTCTTCCTGTACGAGAAATATGATGCATTTCAACACAGTCCTCAAAATTGCTGTGATGTGGAAATTTAAAGGACAGAGTTTTAAAGTCATAATTGTTCCTTAACACTAGCTTAAGCTCGGTTTATACCAACCGTAACACTTCTGGGGCAGCATGCCTTTTTATTTGTATCACATATTCTGTGTAACAAACTTAATAAAAAATAGCCTCATGATCAGAGCCCAGCTATTTTGATAAAAAGCAAGTGGATGGTTGCTATGAAACCTACCTTTTGTTTTTGTCACGTGAAGCGGCTTGTCACGCTTTAGGCAATGTATCTCCAGTAACCAAGCAGGATGTGACCTACATGTTGCCATAAATCACACCCGAAGCAGTGCCCACTCACCTGGCGACAACTGCGGCTTGGAAGCATCAATCGCTCACTAGCCTCCTCCTGCTATGTCAGACCAATAACACTATTTCCTAATCGCCTTTTCTGGACTAGTCTCTCCCTCCGTAAACAGAGTGAAACCACCACGCTCCATCAGAAACGGGGGGTGTCCCTGGTCACGCTGCCCTCTTATCTGTTGCCGTGACAATGGTGGTCCTGACTTTTCTGCAATTCCTTCTATCTTGTCTCAAGAAAGTACAGCTAATTAATTCTTGTTATTTGAGGCAGTTATGATCTATAAAGTCACCGTGAACACTGAATTAGCGATTATTGAACCCACTGCTCCTAGGGAAAACACAGGGTTAGGTTCCTGGAACACTCTTGAAACAACATCTTGTTCCCTGCCCTTGTCTCATGTGTGCTTCTGGGGAGAGCCAGCAGCAGCAGAACTCACGCCTGAACAAAGCTTATCTAACACACGTGTTTTCTCTGTAAGGCAGATGGCACTACACTTGGGGACACTAGACAGCACTTCAGCACTACGCTCGGGGGCCATTTTGAATGGGGAAATCACCAACAATAAAGCATCAAAACTCAGGAAGCATAACATTAAATAGACAGCAAAAAGGACACTTGTTAACAGCACGAGGAAAAACACGAAGGCAGAGCGTTGCCTGGCTTGACCTCAGCTGGGAATGTGCACGTCAGGTGACTCCAATTTTTCGCCATCTTGGGCACGTCCACAAATGACCGTGGAAGTGCATGAATGTTGATTTGGGACTATAAGTAAGTATCGGCCAGTGAGCAAATGGGCAAACACGGAATCTGGGACTAACGAGGATTTGGAGGAATCACCTAAATCCGAAATTTCTTGTGAGCTCTAAGTTTGGGCTTTCTAACGCCTATGGACCTTATAACACACTCCTTCCAATAATCCCATATAAACAGAGTATTCAGGTTTTTCCTTTGACATCAGAGTGGACACACCTTGCCCTCCTCAAATGCTGTGGCAATGTGACCATGAAATTCATCTGCTCCCAGAGCCTTCTCCCCTTTGAAATATGGAAATAGGCTCCTCCTCAGATTTTGAGAACTGGGGAACCAACACATATTCAAGACCTGACTTCCTATTTCTTAATGTTTTATGCCACAGATGCCCTATCAGCTTATGCATATTCTATGTTCCTAGCACCTACTCACGGCAAGATAATGGGGACAACGACAAACCAAAATCCAGGGATTTCAATCAATGAATGGGACTTCTCTGGGGGACGTGTTTGGACAAGCCCACTCTGCCACAATTGTCCTCAGAGCAGGGACACATACAACCTGCACGAACACAGCCCTGCCAAGCTGCCACGCCCCCCGAGTGACATTTTACAGCAGGGCCATCTAGTGTCTGATTCATCTCTTTATTGGCTTGCCCTACTTAGTCGGTCTGTAACAAATTAGAGAAAATTAAACGTTTGAAATATTGCAGGGACTATATAAGGCCAGTGACAGAGGAGCAAACAAAAAAATACAGACTGTCTGAAAGACGCCATGCATTCAAATAAAAGGAGCAGGGGAAATAAAAAACTTCAGATTGTGTGTATCCAGCTTACCAGAGAGAATTTTCCATCAGCATTAATATAGCATATACCAAAGGGAGATGAGTTAACCCCTAATACCTTACCAATAATGCACATAATTATCAATAATTCAAATCAGGACACAATTCACAGATTCTGTGAAATTTCTTTGATGGCTGAGTGCACGGGATGCTTAAAAATACAGAAATGGGGCTTTATAAATAATTAAAAGAAAATGTGTCTCATGACTGTACGTCTAATCCCATGTAAATAGCAGAAGTCCTTCTGAACCCATCTATTTAACTTTGGAGAACTCAAGATTCTTGGGGGACTCTGAGCCACCTGTTGGTGTCTGGGCAGGAGTGCTGTATCAGAGACCATGGCTTCCTGAGTGTCAGAGGATTTCCATTCCCAGATGTGCAAGTGAGACTTACTGTTGTTAACAGACTTTCATCTTTTTAATTGACAAAATAAAAATTGTGTGTATTTATGGTGAACAACATGATGTTTTGATGTATGTATACATTTGGAATGGCTTGACTGAGCTAATTAACATATGTAGTACCTCACATACTTTTTCTTGTGGTGAAAACACTTAAAATCTATTCTTAATGTAACAGATTTTTAAAAGAAAGAAACGTAGGGGGAATGAGGTATAAGAATAACAGCACCAGGAATCTTCAAGTAAAGTAAATTTCTCTTCTGCTAACAAAATGCCTGGGGTCTCAGACATTTTATGAAGTTACTATTCCAATAAGGAAGCTTCATTTAAAAATCTTACATTGCTTGGAAAGCGAGGGTTGCAAGTGAGTGAGGATAAAGAAAGGAAAGTAATGTTTACTGAACATCTAAATGTCTTGGGTATACAGTCGGCCCTCTGTATCCGTGGGTTCTGTGTCCATGGATTCAACCAACTGTGGATTAAAAATATTCAGGAAAAAATATTTCATCTGTACTGAACACGTACAGACATTCTGTTGTCATTATTCCTGAAAACAACATAGTATAACAACTATTCACATAGCATTTACGTTGTATTAGGTGTTACCAGTACTCTAGAGATGATTTAAAGTATACGGAGGATGTGTGTAGGTTATGTGCAAATCCTACGCTATTTCATTTCAGGGACTTGAGCATCTGAGGGTTTGGTATCCTTTGGAGGTCCTGGGACCAGTCCCCCGTGAACACTGAGGGATGACTGTGTGTGCTGTCATTTAATTTTCACAGCCTTATGAAAAAGATTCCATTAGTCTCATGTTCCAAAAGAAATGAGGCTGGGAGGCTGGCAACGTGCAGGAGTCACCCACCAACTAACAGAAACAAGAGATGGCTATCTCAAAGCGTTCCTCTCTCTCCACTATCATTTTATGAAGACGGAAGACCAAACGCAGAGAAGGAACAAGTTCTGTAACTTTCCGTGCCAAAGCTTCTTCACTTGTAAAATGAGGGTAACAGTAGTACTGATCTCAGGGGGTTGTTGTGAGAGTCAAATGAGATCACATACCAGTGCTGGCGCATGCTAAGGTTTAATAAAGGATACCCATTTTCTTGGTTTTTTTTCTCACATCCCTTTTTTCAAATTGATAAGAAAACATCTATCTACTAAGTCTAGTAAACATTCAATTATGCTCATTTACAAAAATTAAGAAGCACCGTCTACAGAAACACCTTATTGTATTAGACTAAGGCAATTTGTTGACTACTAGGAGTGACACTTCTTACAGATCTTTGGAAATCTTGTTAACTGGCAGTGATCAGAATGGGATACGGCTGATTATATGGGACCACTTTGTATACAATGGAAATTAAAAGGATGATATGATGACAAAACATTTTTTTTCCTACTGCCTATATAATTGCAGAACACAACTTTAATAGTAGTGATTATGCACATTGGCCTTGGTCTATACACACCATTACCTTTCTGAAACGTAATGTGTCTATTCCGTTTCATGTAACTTCTGCCTTGGTTGAGAGCTTGGAATGAGCACACTCTGATTCATCCCTTGTCTAGATTAAGACGATAAACTATCCAGTTTCAAGCAACACTAGGATTCAGTTCAGCTTCATGTGTCTTGGTTTACTGAACTCTAGAGTGCACAACACTCTAAAGAGAAGTGAAATCTGTGGCAGTTTTGTGTCTTAAGGCTAATGTGCCATATTCAATGACGACGTTTAAATCCAAGAACAGGACGGAACAAGTGTAGTCTACTCGGCCACCATACTTCCAAGCTTCTCCTCTGAGATAACTGAGGTAGGAACTGTATACCAGTCCCTGAACAAAGCAGACAAACAGCCGAACAGAGAATTTATGGGTTAATGTTTGGGGACATGCATATTAAATGATGTTAGGAGTCTTGTTTTCTCTTCTACTTATGGACCTTCATGCTAACAGCAAAAATAACACAAAGATACTGTTACTATTTTGTGGATGTGATTTTTTTCCCTCATCAATCAGATCACTGTGTTATTTCCAACAAGATTTGCAAAGGAAACCAACAGAACTTACATTGTACAATGTGTGAAATCAAGAGAGCTGCGCTGGTGTCATTGCATGTCAACCTGCCTTGAGCCAAGTCTTGCTTCACCTGCAGAGCAAACAGGTACCTGCGAAGATCAAGAGAGACGGACATCATGCACAGAGAACAGGAGGGTCCACATCAAAGGCAGCTCACCCTGGGCAACCTGTCCACACCATGAGAAACTGAAGAAAGGGATAAAAAACCCAACAACGAGGTCTGCATGGGTTGGAATGAATTCCAGCTGCCACTCCAGGCAGTGTAAACACTGCCCCACTAAATACAAAGAGACATATATGGAGAGAGCAAGCCATAAAAATTGAAGACTATAGCCTATCGTCCTATATATTTTTGCAGGATATAGGAAACATTAATTTTTTTTTTTTTCCGAATCAGTCATACATACTCTAAAACGGCTTTATGGCTCAGACAATAATAGCTTATTATGGTGAGAAAGAGCTTTGTCAATGGAATCAGAAAAACAAGGGCGCTTTTTTTGTGGCATAACAGTTACTTAGCTACTTCCATAGCCCAGTTACCAGATCTGTAAAATCGATTTAAGTTATTCTTTTCTTTATATTGTAGGGTAAAGTAAGATGAGATTTTTGGTGTAAGAGAAAAAAAGATATTTGTAAATCAAAGAAATTAGGTAAAAACTGTGTGATGTTAAAACAGATTTGAAAATAATGATATGAACTCGTAAAGTTTTAGAAGGTATTTACTAGTAGGTATTTGCCCACTGCCTGGAAACAGTGTCTCCTCATTAGCAACCCTTAGCAACCAGAGTCTGTCCCTCGTACGAGTGCCCGTTGGAATGATGCAGGGGTAGGTCCTTGGAGAAATGGTAGATTTCAGGTCTATTAAAGCAACTCCTTATTCACAAATTGGTAATGTCGAAGAACTGAGCATATAACCTGCCTCTCCAATAGGAAGGGCATTTCAGGATAGTCAGATAGCCCAAGTGGATGAGGCAAAGTTTTACTTTATAGGAGAATGCCAAGGTATAATGCAGCATAAACAACAGAATTAGAAAATCCTCATTCCATGACCTCTAAAGAGATTACTGACTCTAGCAAGGATTGTCAATTGGCAAAAAAAAGCAAAAAAACTATTTAGGAGACTGGACATTTGTATAGGGCCAAAGTAACATGACTTTACTTCACAATGGAAAGATGAGAATGTCACCACCACCTTCTTTTATTTTGAGACAGGATCTCACTGTGTCACCCAGGATGGAGTGCAGTGGCCCAATCATAGCTCACTGCAGCCTCGAACTCCTGGACTCAAGTGATCCTCCTGCCACAGCCTCCCAGGTACCTACCACCATGCCCAGCTGATTTTTAAAATATTTTTTAGAGAGGAAGGTCTCGATATGCCCAGGCTGGTCTTTATCTCTTGGCCTCAAGCCATCCTCCTGCCTCAGCCTCCCGAGCAGCTGGGATTACAAGCACAAACCACCACTCCCAGCTCCAGAACACCACCACTTTAATCCAATGAACAGTCTTAGCATCACTAATAAAAAGTGAAACACATAACATCACTTATGATGGGTTCTAGCCCAAAATGTTTAACTGGATCCATCAAACCTTTAGAATTAATTTCTAAAGAGCTATGGTTTGAATGTTTGTCCTCTCTAAATCTCATGTTGAAATCTGATGCCCAACATTGGAGGCAGGGCCTAACAGGAGGTGATGGGGGCAGATTCCTCATGAACAGAGTTATGCCCTCCCCCGGGAGTGTGTGTGATCTTGCTCTATCAGTTCCCCAGAGAGCTGGTGGTTAAAAAGAGCCTGGCACCTCCCCACCACGCCTGTTTCCCCTCTCGTCATGTGATCTTCTACACCGGCTCCCATGCACCTTCCCAGGAGTGGAAGCAGCCTGAGACCCTTGCCAGCTGCTGATGCTCAATCCTGAACTTCCCAGCCATCCAGAACTGTGAACCAAATAAAACTTTTTTCTTTATAAATTACCCAGCCTCAGGTACTCCTCTATAGCGACACACAATGGACTAAGACATCCAGTTTTCAGGAAAATACAAAGGATAGAGGAAGAAACCAAAGAGCCCCAAGAGGAAACAATCAGAAAAATTCAGAAGGCAGGCTATTTGCAGTACATCTGGTCCAATTTCTTCAGCAAGATGGTATCATAAAGAAAAGAAAATGAGGGACTACGCTACATTACAAGAGGCCCAGAGGATGTATAACCAGACACAATACATGGTCCTAGAGTGAATTTGACGTTAGAATAAGCAGATATAAATGTCAGTTGGGGGCAAACAAGGAAATGTGAATGTGGTCAACATATTAGATGAGATGAAACACATAGAAAAAACCAGAAAGGACATCACACTGATGTGATGGGCAACAGGAATACAGCATTCTTTCCAAGTCTTATTCATTTGTATATTCTGACTTTCTATGATGTGTTTTTACTGCTCTTATAATAACCAAAGGTTATCTTTAATTGTCAAAAAGACCTTTAATATCAACCACAGGTTTCTATAGAATTAAATGAGATAATGCATGGAAAACAGGGACTACAACAAAAACATTCAAAACAAAAACTACAAAAAAAAAATGTTAGCAATTTTTTTAAAATAAAAGAATAACTGATCCCTTTTAAGTCATTTAGTAAGTTCCACTATTAAGAACTAAAAAAATCACTGTGGCAATTGTATAACCAGCAAAAAACACCCTACAGATTTGGGCACCAGTTGACTTTTCTCTGATCTCCCTAATGATTATTCTTGTTCTCCCATCCTCCACCCCCCACTTTCTGTCTTTGGAAAGTCAAAGGGAAGAAAAGTAGAGACTGTAAAACAATCTAAATATCAACATAAAGGTTCATACGGGGAGAGGCAGTACAAACGATCTTTCTGGATTAGGCAGGGATTATATTGCCTTTTGAACCCGACACGCCATAGAGCTACACGCTTTAACTCTCATCTGTGTGGTTGATTTTTTTAAATAAGTAGGAGGGCTTTGTGTTTTAAAAGCATTACATTCTGAATATTTTACCATTTACCAGTTCAAACACAAGGTCCTGCATGAACAAAAAGTGTGTTCGGTGACAGATTCATGGTCAAGGTCAGACAGGCTTTGGGGACTGGGGATGATCTCGCGTGGGTCGCGAGATGGCATAGGGTTCTGAAAGCTCACACGTTTGTTTGGAGGGCATGTGCCTTTCTGAAGACTGAAGGAAGAACTTGTCACCCCTGACTCTCCTGTTTCAAGGCCCTTGTAACACGAGAAATAGCTTCCTGGGTAGTAATGCTGTTGACTTTTCTTACTGACATGAGCTGTAAATTGAGCACGCTGGCTGTGATGCTAACTTTGGAGATTAAGCAACACCTTTAGTACTATAAACTGAAGCAATTCCAATCAACCTCACAAGAGCTAAAGGCTAAGTTTCACTCGGCAGGCACTAAATAAAATTAAACCGGTAAACACGATGAAAACACAAAGTTGTTCAGGATGGAATCCCCTCTCCTTGCAGAAGGGCTGGCGTGAGGAGGGTGGTGACAATGGTGGCAGGAGTAAACCGGCGGGCTTTACTGCAAGGGACAGCAAGAGTTACACGTCACACCCATCTGACACCTTGCTTTGTTCTCAACATGAACATTTTAATTTATTTCATTTAGAAGGTCCTAATCTTCTCTTTTCTTACTAAATGTAAATCATTTGCAATTTCCTTGCAGTCACTTCAGCAGGCCGTACAGGGCAGCAGATTCCGACAGGGTCCTCTCCAGTTATGAGAAGCACACAGGCAAGTAGAAATCGGATCCGATTGAAGACAGGATGCCTCGAGGGGAGGGGAAGAGCAAAGGGCAGCAAAACTCCCCGGAGAAAAGTGATTCCGAGCTATGCATTAAGAAAACCCGGGAACTTCTTTTCCAAAGCCCCTGGCTTGCTGTTTTCCGCCTGCACTTACGAGTTGGTACTCTTCACCTTTTAGATGCCCGGACTCTGTCAATAGGACAGAGTCTCACCGAGTGCACAGTTCAATAAATAGAAAGGAATTCAGCTTCTTGTTTAACGGCAAAGTGCAATTTAATCTTCTATCTATGTAAGTGGGAAGCTGCAAGCTATTCCTGGAGGCCCAAAGAATTAACTACAGAGCTAGGGTCACTTACACTTTGCTGAACTGCAGGCCAGTTTCTCCGTCCCGCTCCTGAGCACACTTCCCTCCCGCAAAGCGCGGCGGACACGGAGCTTCTCCCAACGCCCCCCACTCACCCCCTGCCACAGAAAAGCGCCTGAAACCTTAGCGGTCAGTATATTTTTGCTTAAATAGCAATCTGTTTGAGAGTGTGGGAGTCCCCACACGTCAGCCCCGCGAGGTTCCCTATACTTTGTGCCAAAGTAGATAGAGACGGGGAGTTGACAAATACAACAGAAATTTCAGATCAATTTTATTCGACATCGAACCAAAAGTACTGTCTCCTCGGAAAAGATTTCTGAAATGTCAGTTCACACCGGGAGCCAGAAAACAAAAACAACAAAAACCTGCTGCATCCGGCTGAGCTCCTGTAACTTCAGGAATTTATCGGCATTGACAGAGAAGGTGTCAAGACACCAGGCGCACGCAGCTTAATGCTAACAAGTTGTGCGGGGTTTTGTAACAAGGACCGGGGTGGTAGAAAAGCAGAAACCTCTAGAGACAATGATTCACAGAAATTGAAAAGGTGCAAATTGCAAAACTATTTGCAAAGTAGAATTTTCAATGGAAAAATGAAAAAAAAAACCAAAAATCAAAAACAAAAAAAGGATATATGCCTCCAACTTCCCAAGCAGGAATGAGGCCCAGTGATTTGCAGGATGAAAAGGCACAGGGCTGACCAACAGCTGGACTCGCCCTTGGGTTTACTTCAGTGCGCTGAGGTCAGAGCGATGCACGTTCCAGCACCAGCACCAGGGCACTGACACCCACATACAGTAGCCCCAATATAGGGCCCAGGTCTTGTGCACTCCGGTTTAGCAGTTCCACCAGAGTTCACATCATCCCCAGGAGGCAGGTGGCCTCTGCCCACTCCTGGTCGCCCTCACCCTCTTCACTAACTGGAGGACTGAAGTGGAGGTGCGCGATTAGTGGCAGTTCATTCAGAAAACACAAAATGGCGAAGTCTTTGTCATCGTCTCTTCCTGGAACCCCTCATTCCTGCGTCCAGTGGCCTTCCTGCTGTGGCCACATGACGTCTAACAGGTGTCTCACTCGGAACTTGGCCGGAACCACCCCTTGATGCTCTGCCAGCCCCAATCCTCCACTCCGATTGCTAAAATGAGAAGGGGCCACCCTTCTCATTTTAGCAATCACCAACACCATCTACCCGGCCACTCAAGTCAAAAATCTAAGTGTCCCCCTCTACTTTCCTCAGACTCCATCTCCTACTCATCACCAAGACAGGGGACCCAACCTCCAGCACATATTCCAAATGCACCCACTCTTCTCCACGTCCACTGCTACCACCCTCTTGGCCGCCATGGTCTTTGCCTGGACCACTGTCGCGGCTTCCTCCCCGCAGTCCCCGGGAATCCCCCCTCCCACAGCGCCCACACCAGCTCTTTCAACACTACGTGTCACAGAGCCTCTCCCTTCACTGCACTGCCCCCAGTGCTCCTGCCACACTCCCGTAAGTGCCTGAATGGGTAGAGCTTATGCCTGCCTCGGGCATCCTGACTGCTCTGTCTCTCTGGAAAGCTCTTCCTCAGGAAAGCACTGACAGTTGCTGCTTACTTCCTCAAGAAGCATCCCAGACCCACCAGTCTGAAGTCATCACCCAGTCACTTCCTATCACGTCATCCTACTTCAGTTACCTAAAGAGCTCTTCCCATTATCTGATGTTTTTCTTGTTTAACCATTTTGTCTGTTTCCATGAAACTCAAGACTCGTCTTTTCACCACGATATTCCCAGTGCCTAGAACATGCTCACACACAGTGCACACCTAATAAACACTGTTGACTAAATGAACGTCTTCATCCCTTTGCTAAATGATGGTCAGTGATCCAAGATACTATATTCTACTAAGAAGGATGAGAAAGACGTGATGGCCTTGGTCTTAAACAGGCATCGCTTGAAAAGCATGTGTGATAAGAACTGGTTGGTCAGACTCGTGTACTGTGAAGGGTGCTCTTGAGAGGGAGGCATTCTGCCTTTCTGTGCTCCTGTGAGCTTGGCTCTCTGTTGGAATATATCTGTCTTGTCTCAAATTATATTATAAACCAAGCAGTAGTAGTCATGATGGTGGTGGTGGTGGTGGTGATGGTGGGTGGTGGTGATGGTGGTAAAGATGGTGGTGGTGGTGATGGTGGTGGTGGTGGTGGTGGTGCTGGTGGTGGGTGGTAGTGATGGTGGTGATGGCAGTGGTGGTGGTGATGATGGTGGTGAAGATGGTGATAGTGATAATTCCTACTGGATTCCAGCCACTCTATGTACATTAGTGCTTATCCTCAAAGCAACCCTGGCCAAGCAAGCATCATAGTCTGCATTGTTGAGGGAAATTAACGACAGCACAGAAAGGACAAGTAACTGGCTAGTCACACAGCTGGTGAGTGGCAGGACTGAAGCCAGGCCTGATCCAATGCTCACATTTCTCCCACTTGGCCACACTTTCAAAGAAACTGACTGACAGTTCATGTCAAATTCACCTATCCAAGGCAACAGCAAAGATAGTCTAGGTTAACATTTTGGTTTCACAGAAAAGCTTTACTTCCCAAAACTGTCTCATGATGTGATAGATCTAAGATGGAAAATATGACATTAACAGGTTATAAGCCCAGTTCATTTCACATCACAGCCTTAAAGAAACCAGGCTTTAGGGAAAATGTACTTTTCCTCCCCCCATTTTTGGAGGCAGAGCTGAGAGAGAAGGGTTAAATTGTTAAGCACAGAGCAGATGCTGGCCAAGCAAATATTATGAACATTTTTATTTAATCAAATCAGAGCATTAATTTCTTTTCCTCTGCACCCTGTAGCAAAAAATACCCAGTTTCCAAACCACTAACCTTGTGAGTTCTTCTTGGAGTTGTGTGTGGTCAGGTGGAAAGAATTTCACCACAAACTTAACAACAACATGTTTTGGCCCTAAAGAAGAAGCAAAAAAGCAATGAAGCATTTATTGATTTGTGTTTCAAATGTCATTAAAGAAAACGACTTTACAGGGTATATTGTACTAAACAATGTATCTCATCCCAAGTTCCTAAGAGTACATCTGCCAACCACCAAGTCACTCAACAACTGGCCAAGTTTGGCTAATTCACACTTCCATATTGTGGGGAAATAGGTATCTGTTTTAAAAAAAATATTAGGCAAAGGTATTACATTGAGCTATTAAACTCTTTCTCTGGAGACTTAAATTATACTCAGGTTTAAAAAAAATTATACTCAGGTGTTTTAAAAAACATATCTACCAGCCAGGCGCGGTGGCTCACGCCTATAATCCTAGCTCTCTGGGAGGCCAAGACGGGCGGATTGTTTGAGCTCAGGAGTTCGAAACCAGCCTGAGCAAGAGCGAGACCCCGTCTCTACTAAAATTAGAAAGAAATTAATTGGACAACTAAAAATATATAGAAAAAATTAGCCGGGCATGGTGGCACATGCCTGTAGTCCCAGCTACTCGGGAGGCTGAGGCAGGAGGATCCCTTGAGCCCAGGAGTTTGAGGTTGCTGTGAGCTAGGATGATGCCACGGCACTCTAGCCCGGGCAAAAGAGTACGACTCTGTCTCAAAAAAAAAAACCAAACATATCTACCATTGGCTGCTTTTGTCCAAATATAGGCTTTAGGTAATTTAAGGAAAAGATAATAAAAATGTAAATCAGTTATGCAATTTATTATATTTAACTATTTACAAGGAACAGTTGCTAATGTGTTCATTATGTATGTTTCTAGCACCTAGGTGCTCTCTTGAGCTCTGGAGAGAAAACATAAACAAGACATGGCCCTGCCTCTGTCAGCCAAAGCCTTTATAAGTGTCTTATAAACCATCTTACCAATGAGTTAAGATAAAATCAGGAAGCAGGTAGGGGCTTGGGGGAGGGAGACTATGAACAATATGGATAACTTTTCAGAATTAAAACAGAACAACAGAACAAACAGATTATAAGATAATAATCTGTGATCTGGGTCAGAGTTTTTTGTTTTAATGTGCAAGCTACAACTTAAGAGCAGTCCCATAAGGTCTGCCATTTGGAATAATAACAATTCGCTTACGTTCTATGAAAGACAAGGTATTGTAATGAAATCCAAATTTTAATAATAGTGTTATAAAAGAAGAAAATGTCTTTTTGTTCTGCTTTTCATGATAAACACAAAAAATAGATTTTGTGTTATAATTTCTGAGACCATACATTCAAGTTTAGAGAAAAACAAAAACGCTATCACAAGGTGACAATGTCAGCAATATATACAAAATTAGGAGAGAACAGCAAGGCATGAAAATACTGAAGCCAAGAGAAGCTGAGCTTGTTTTCCCTAATAACACTGAAAATCAGGAGAAATCCTCACATGTCAACTGTGGAGCACAAAATTACAACAGCAGAACGAGGAATACAAGAAGGCCGCACTGTTTCCTCTCGGCAATTTTCACAGAGAGGAAACTAAATGAGGCTTCTCGGATCCTTGGAAAACCTGAAGCTAGGAAGATGCTAGCACTCAATGCAAGGTGACAGCTTTGTCACACTGGGACAGTCACAGTACAGGGAGGAGACAAACAGATCACAGCCCTGCTCTGGCTCTGACCTGGCAACAGTGGAGTCCGTCTGCAGGGCTACCCTGAAGAGATACCTTCCTACGTTCCCCTCCTGAATTATTGCAGGGACAAATGTCCGTCTTCTCCACTGCATGCTGCCTGGCCCATTAGGCCTGGGGGCTTTTCTTAGCAATTCTCCCCACACACAGGATGAGGACACCCAGTGACCACGAAAGGATGGCCTTTTCATGTTCAGCATCGATAATTGCTTGATTTAAATTACAGAAGATCAACGTCAATTTCCATTGTGTAGGGGCCGCACAGCCATTGTGCTGTGTGTTTACTACACCCACATAAATTGCTCTGAGTGGCGCAGTGGGGTTTCTTAATCAGATATAGAAACAACCCCACAGGTATTGTGAGTTTCACGCTCAACTAGAGGGCTGTGGTTTTGTCACCATCCTCAGACTTCCGGGCAGTGAGGGACTGTTTGGGATGACTTTGTAAACAGAGCTTGACCTTGAATTTTACTGTAAAGCAGAGACAGGGGAGAGGAGAGAAAAAGCAAGTGTTCCCTTTCCTTGCTCCTCTCTTATACCTTCCCTCATCTTTTCTTCCTAACAGAGTCTAAATGCACGCCAGTCTCCCTGCAGAGTTCTGCTTGCTGTTCAGAAACACACACACACACACACACACACACACACACACACGCACGCACACGCACACGCACACGTACACATGCTTTTGGGCACTGTTTCCCCAAAAACACATGCATTCTGATTTCACAGGCTTTGAAGGCTGAGGACGGAAAACCTAAATCAATTTTATGAATAAGTGGCTCCACCCTTCCCCTCTGAAAGTGACAGTAAGAAACAATGGCACAGACAAGACAAGCTCAATATCCTGGGGCTTACTATTCATATAACAGCAGGCTTCAGTTGTTAATCAAAACGATATTTGATTTCCCAAGCAAGGTTCTGATTACCAAATTGTTATATTAATACACTAAAATTGCAGAAGATACACAGTGTAATCGTGTGAGGATTAGTGGACGACGAAATGTAATCGAGGGGTAAAAGAAGAATCTCTATCACTGGGGCTTCAAGCACAGAGCAAGAGTAGTCTACACGTGAAAACATCTGCCTTTCTGTTTCACATCCCTGTTAAACGTATGGTACATACTTACTTCGAATCTGTTTCACAATAGGTTTTAAGAGATCCAGCCACACCTAAAAGGGAAAAAAGAATAGATTGAGACATTAGCTCTTGATGAAAAAGTGTAAGTATTTTCAGATTTTATTTGAAGCCATTTAAAATCAAAATATTTTGGAGTTACATGGGGCCGTCTGTTCTTTTTTCCCCCAGAATGCCATCTCTTACATTGTCTACCACTTTTATAGAACCAATCCTAATTTTGCTGATATTATCCCTGAGCTTGAAAATTAAAATCTCTTCTAGACTCAGATAAATAGTTAATAGTTAACTAAGAATTTTTCTACTTCCATTTATACCTTTATCCTATTTACCTATTTGGGAAATATTAATAAATGATCACATATCTGGCTACTAGCTGAGTGAAACGTGCACACTCCTCATTGAAACAGAATACATCGTGCGTGAACAGCACATCTTTGAGGGATATGGAAAAAGAATGAGTATTTACAGAACAGCACCTCTGTACCACACACTCCTATATAGCTATTGACCACTCCAAACAAGGCTGGAACGATTTTTGTTACCCAGGAATGAAACCTGAGACTCGCAGAAGTTAATAATTTGTCCTAGGTCTCTCAGCTAGAAAGTGGCAGAGGTAGGATTGGAATCAGGTCTGTCCAGCTTCAAAGCCCACACTCTTTGTCACATGCACGCCCCTTGGCAATTAAGAGAGGAACCAGCTGCCCTTATTAATAAAGTGAAAGGTAACCATATTATCCCATTTCACGTGTTCTTTTCTTTAAACTCCCCTTGAACTTCTGGTCATTTAGAGAGTTCTATGGAAACTCATATTTGCATATATGACAAAAATAAAATTAGTGTGCTTGATATAAAGAGGGTTAGAAGTAAATAAGAAAAAGAGAATAATAGCCCTGTAGAAACCTATGCAAAGAACCACAGACAATTTACGAAGAGAAATTGCCAAGGGCTAACAGGAAAATGTTGAAGTTCAGGAGTAATTTGCATTAGAAATGCAAATTAAAACAATAAAATACCATTCCACCCATTAAATTTGCATCAAGGTAGGGCAGTATATACACTTGAGTGTTTGTATTTTATAATACGCCAACCTGGCCAGGGCGCAGGGAAGTGGGCGCTGTCTTACTCTATTGATGGATATGTGAATTGCTACAACTTTTCTGCAGACTTATGAGGGAATAATGTTCTAAAGCCCAGAAACTATAATTCAGCCATCCCACTCTTGTAAATTACGCATTTATGCACACAAAGATTTATGTACAAAGAATACTAATTGCAGCATTTTTATAGTAGTAAAATTTTTTTATAATAACCTAAATAAAAGAGAGAAAGAAAATAACATACATCAATATGACACATTACCACGCAGGCATTAAAAATTATGTTCTTGATGAACATTTGAAAATGTGGGAAAATGTGGGAAAATGTGTTTGGCAGGTTGGATTTTAGGTGATTTCTTCTTTTCTTTTGCCTTTCTACATTATCCAAATTATCTTAAATCAACATTCAGAATTCTCATAAGGAAAAACCTAAAAATTTTAAATTTCTCATTTGGTTTAACTTTCCCCATCACCTTTTTGAAATAAGTAAGACTCTATGATAAAATCCCCATTTGTAGTACATTCCTCACTCTCTACTGCTCTCCCGCAAGAGAAGAAACTGACACTGATCACTCCTCTCCACTGTCACGCCCATCAGCCCCCAAATGGGAGACAACCATCATACAAAACAGTGAGTTTCATTTGTGAAATCTATTCCTTTCCTGCCAAGAACCCCGAAAGATAGAAAAGGTTCAAAAGTATCTCCCTCTGATACTGATAAGAAAACTGAGATTCAGAGAAGAGAGGCCCAAAGCTGGAACTCAAATTCTGGGTTCTAGGAACACAATGACAAGAAAAACAGTCAGGGACCCTGCTCCGTGGAGCTCACAGTCTAGTGAGGAAGACAGACAGGAACTAAAAAACCTCCCCAACCAAACACAAACGCAAGGAACGAGAGCCCCAGAGGACTGGGAGTGGCTGGGATGGAGAAGTCTGCCCCAGTCACGGTGTTCTGTGTTCTCCGATGTGATGGTCAGCCAGGTATGGCCACCAGAAGAGAGACTTGGAGAAATCAAGTGTACAACACTCACGGGTCCTAGAGATGGGCGGCACGGAACACCACACAGGGCCACGCAGGGCCACATCAGGAAGCAAGAGACAGGAGCCAGGGAGAGCCTGGGCCTTTACTGAGATTCCCCCACCTCCCCCAACCCTGGGCAGGGCAGGGCAGGGGAGGGCTCAGTTTAGGACTGGCTAGTTAGTCTAAATGATTCCAGCTGGCCCTAAACTATAGGGCTGGTCCCTAGTTGCTGTTCCCAGGCCCTGGGAGGATTCAGGCAGAGCAATACTGCGTCTAGGGGTGGACAGGCCAGAGAAAGGCGGTACAGCTCTGGACTGGTTAGCGTGTATACCAGGGGCGAGCTCCCGGCTGCACCCTGCCAGCTCTAAGATTGGCTTGCCCTGGGAAGGGCAGTCTCTCTTCAGTCAGAAAGGCTTTTCATTAATAAAATGTCAAAGCACCATAACATACAGAAAATTAAATTAAGATCTATATTCACACAATACACATAGGGAGAACAGAGGTAAGGGGAACCTCCCCTGAACATGCCATTTTGCTAAGATCTGAAGGGGAGAAGTGAGCAGAACACAAAAAGACAGTCAAAATGCTTGTCTAGGTGCCCCAGGGAAAGACCTGCTGGCTGCAGAGCAAGGCCGTGGGGCAGGAAGGGCCCGACCCCACCAAGGCCTGGCCAAGACGTTTCTTCCTCATCCCAAACACAATGCAAGGATTTTCCACATGGAGCTGACTTGATCCGATCTGTGTTTTAAAAAGATTAGTCTGGCAGCGTGAGAACAAGTTAGAAGGAGCAAGAAGGGATGGATGCAGGTTGATCTGTAGCAATTGTGCAGGCAAGATCGGATGGTATTTTGGACCAGGAGGGGGCAGATGTAGAGTTGGGGAAAGTGGGTAGATTTGAGAGAAACTGAAGAGGTAAAAACCAGTGGAATTGCCTCATGGACAGAGGAAAGAGACTGATCAGAAGGACACCGAGGTTTTGCTGCACGTGTCCTCCCCAGAGACGGGGAGCGTGGGACGGGGGACGACCAGGACTGGGAGGGTCTAGCTGTGCTGATTTCCTGGACTGCCTTGGGATCGTGCAGAAGACACAATACGGAAACAGTGGGACACGAGCACCTGGAGCTCAGAGGAGACGTCTGGCAGGAGGTCTCACATTTAGAAGTGGCCACCACGCTGACTCCACGGAGGGGAAGCCAGCCTGTGTAGAGGCAGGAGAATGAGATGCATGAGCACCATGGAGCAGCCAGAGGGGCACAGCGGGAGGGGAAAGGAGCAGAGAACTGTGCCACAGAAGCCATAGGATGACAACGCTTCCCCAGGGAGAAATACCGAGAGCTGCTGAAAGACCAAATAAGATGAGAACTGGGGTATCTGCTGGTGGCCGGATTCGCGATGGGTCTGAAAGTCGGTGGGTGGGAAGAGGATGACCGGCTTTCTCAAGAAGCTTGGTGTGAAGCAAGACGCAACCGCGCAGAGGTAGAGGGTTGAGAAATCCAATGAGGGCGTTCATGTGCTTGTTTTTAATCGGAATGACCTGGGTGTGTTTAAGAAGGGAAGGGGTTGAAAACAGGGGCCAGAGGGAATACGCCATTGTCCTGAGAGACCCGACATGATGTGAGGAGACAGTGCTGGAACCCAGGGCACTGGCTCGGGACAGAGAAGAACAGCTCTCCCCAGTGAGACAGAGGGGACAAGCTAATGATGACAGCAAGGAGGTTTACGTTTCTGTGTTGAGAAGATGAAAAAGTTCCTACTAGGTATCTCCATTTCCTTTGTAAAATCAGAGGGCTGGAGGGTTCAGCAGAACAGTTTCGAAACAGCTGTGCTGTGTGGGAGAGCGAGTGCACCGAGCGCCCGCCCATGAGCCTGCCACGCCACGCTCTGTCAGCCCCCACAGCGGCCTCAGGGGACTGGTCACTGAGCTCTCTCCCCACTGCCAGCACGGCCACAGAACCTGCCTAAACTTCTGCAAATTACCCAGGACAAATCATCTACGCTTTGGCAATGTAGTTGCCAAATTTATGAATTGTTTTTAAACATCTCTCCTCTGTTTTTGGCATTTCTGCGGAAAGCATCAAATACAAGCACCAACTTGAGCCAAGTGAGCATGTGGTTTTATAACATGTGGGGCTGGGAATGTAAGATTGGCCCGACGGAGCCTGTTGGGCACAGCTCTGCAGCACTAATGCTGCAAGGCACAGATCATATCACAACCAGAGTAGCCTGGGTAAGGACACACGGCCTGCGAGAACCTATCCAGTTCCCAGGCAGACTGACATCTGCAGAGCTCAGGACGGAGGTCTGGCGCGGAGGGCTTAGACCACTACAAATGAATGAGCTGGGAGTAGCAGGAAGAAAAAACAAGGTTGCTGCTTGACTGGAGTTAAAGCACTGGTGGCTGGTGTGTAGGGAAGGCCACAGGGAAGCAACGTGAGCCGGACTAGGTCATCCTGGACTAGCCACTCGTGCACTCAATGTGAGTAGACAGAAACGAGTTCCAGGTGAGTTAAAAGGTAACAGATGCACCATCATCTTTCTCTCCCTGCCAGTGGCTCTCTACAGGGTCACATTGGTAATGATCTCTTTAGCCCCAAACCACACCCCTGTCCTCGGGGAAATCCATGCTCTGGTCTCCTGAGCACACCCACACACCCATGTGTGTGGACCTCCTGACTGGAAAGGAATTTGCTTAGAATGAATGAACTTCTAGACAAATCTCACTCTCAGTCAGTAGAACTCAAAGACGAACCTGCTTACTAAGCCCGGGAACGTCTCCTGCTGGGATGTGAAGGCCTTACTGCATTAGTTTGCTCAGACTGCCATAACAATGTACCACACACCAGGGCCTAAACAGCAGAAATTTATTCCCCCCCCCGCCCCCCCCTTCCGTCTGGAGGCTCCAGGTGTCAGCAGG